GCGCACCACCTGACGTAAGCGCGGCGCGTAAGCGGGGGGAGAGCATTATAGAGGGGTATAGATGGATAGATAGATAGATAGATAGATAGATAGATAGATAGATAGATAGATAGATAGATAGATAGATAGATAGATCTAGATATGTATTAAAGGTTAACATAATTATATTTTGTAATAAGCACTGACCGATCTTCAAGCTTGAAGCTTGATGACGTGTGCATTTTTCTCTGTGCAGTTATGCCCAGAGCTCGCGGCATTTGACATATGCCATTTGCCATACTTATAGACCGGCCTAACCGGTTGAAAAATCATTAGCATGCATATGACCACCTTGGTATTTGCGCAGGCCTTTCCGACCGAAGCAACTGTCACCCAAAAGGTAGGTTCAGTGCTATCACACGGTGTTAGGGAAAGTACATGTACATGTGTGACCAAATCGTCTTAGATAAAATCGCTGTTCAAGTTGTTATTTTGCAGACCATTAGAGACTGAAGGTAAAAATGTCAAATCCCTTTAAGCTATGTCTTATATAGACTATTGAGGGCATTGCAACAACTCAACCATAACGACACGAGCCTAAATTTTATGTTTTTTATCAAAACCCTGCAAAGTTAACTGACATTTGTACATGTAACCCCTTCATAGGCTCCAAATATATCGAGTATGAGTGTTTGTATTGTCTCAATCGCGTACGCGATTAAGAGTTCACGTATGAAGACATAAGATGGCGTCTGTACCCAAATGAACAGTGCAAAAAGGCCAATGGCACCGGGTGGTGACGGCGAGGACTCTGAGAAGTTGGAGGAACTTTTTCAAGATCAGAATTCTGATGAAGATCCGGAAAAAGACTTCGATTGGTGCCTTTGGTTCAAGGTAGGCTCGTATATACAGTATATACATGTATGTTGTCCATGCACAGTTAAATGGACAGTGAGCAAATGGGCCAATGACATATATTAGATACCAAGATGCTAATGATACAAAGATGACAATTGACAGTGTTTAAAAGCATCCAAAGTGCAAGTCTGTTTCTTTCCATGTAATGATTCGATTCACCCCCCCCCATCTCCCCATTCTCCATTTCACATGTGTATTTATATCGTTTCTCATTTCTTGAAATTAATCCTCCAAGGTCACATTTTACCCCTGGTAGTGTTTAGCGAAAAGAGTAGGAGTCTATCCTAGTGTGAGTGGGCAATTAACCCTAGAATCCGGTCTTGTGTCCGTACTATATAGGAATCTGGTGTATTAGAAGGGCAGTTACCTGTCATGGGAAACAAACAAACACGACAACATGTAAAAAGTGTTTAATGACAGACGAGTCAACACTAATCAACGGACATTGAAGTCAATAAGGGTCAATAAATAGGACATGGATGTAGCAGGCCCCATGCGGGCATTTTTGTCGCAATACATATCTTTGATAGTGATGTTCATAACCAAGAGTTCTCAAATTATTACGTAAAATATTTTTCTTCCATTGCAAAAGTGGCTGCGAGAATATAAGTTGTACCTAACTTGAGTTCGCAGTCACCTAGTCCATGTCTTTTCATTTGTTATCATCATTGTGTTTCTGAATAATACTAAAAAAATCATTACGATACCCCACGGTCGTAGCCAATCCAGGGTCATTGGAGATAAAACAAAACCTGGTCGGCCAACCACCTGCCGTAGCCCAGCACCCTCGGGCACAAGCTAAGGAGGCTGAATCAAATTGATTTCTCCTTGATTTAACATAGTTCAGACCCGCTGCTGAGCAACTAACAACCTGTTACTGACGGCGGTGAAGGTTACACATACTGGTAATAAGATGCACCAAAAACAGTTCCATACTGGATATGGTTTTGGAAACGGTCAGACGATCGAGATAAAAGCAATTGCAATATGGTCGTGATTAAAAACCTGCATTCTCCTGCAGTCTCTCGTGCCACTGATGAAAGGTAGTGGATGCTACCTGAAACGTCTGGCCGTTTCCAAAACAATAGCTAGTTGCTTGAGTAACTGTTTTTGGCGTAACCTGTTAATTTCTAAGCCTGTAGCAAACACACACACAAACAAGAATCCATACATTATAACCATCCATGGATATTCTTTTCCTCAGAAACAGTGGGGCGTGGCCGCCTGCCTGGCATCCGGCCTTTTTAAAGGTGTCGTGCCTGCGGCATTTCGATATGTAGAAGACAGAGGATACACGGAGTACCAGCTGAACTTCTTCAACGATCTGCTACTGGCTTCAGCCGGTCTGTGCGTCGCCGGTTGCACAGAGACGAGCCTCATCCCAACCACCTACAAGCAAGCCCGGAGTTTGATGTTCCAAGGAGTGGGTCGTTTCTTCGCCATCCTTTGCCAGTTCTCTGCCTATCGGTACCTTCCTCCTGCCAACGCCGAAATCGTGATGGGCCCCAGCGGAATAGTCTTTACTGCGATTCTATCCCTCATTTTTCTTCAAGAGGTAAGTCGAAAATCTACATTAAAACTTTACTGACAAACAACAAAATGAATTCTTGTGAACTTCGTTTTCATCCCCAAAATACTTTTCCAAATAGTTGTTTCTATCTTTGCAGTGTTTATATGTCGTTCTTTTTTTTATTATTGCAGATCCCGACGCATGCTACAATATTTGGGAGCTTATGGTGCATAGCAGGTGTTGTACTAATTGGTTATAGCGGCATGATCAACGAGGTCCCCTCTACGACTATCGACTCGCACAATGTTGGTCTAGGAATGGCGCTGGCCATCGTCACAGCACTCTTATTCGCTATGCTGAGCGTTGACGTTAAAGGCCTCCTGGCATCCGGCACGTCGACAACGATGGTTTTATCATACGCTTACAGTATACCTACAATATTGGCAGGGGTAACGGCGATTTTTACGAGTAAAACGTGGCTCCTTGAGCCAACAAGTGCCGCAGTCTTGTGTGCAGGCCTTTTAGGTAAGTTCGGAGGAACCGTGCTCCTATACGCTGGCATGAAGCTGGTTGAGGTCAATGCTGCAACTGCCCTGCAGCAAGTCAATGCGTTTTCGGGCTTCTGGCTGCAGTGGGCGATCATCGGTTTTGCTCCGACTATTTTTGATGGTTTTGGTCTGACGTGTATATTCATAGGAACGGTTTCTATTGTTATATGGGAGGCGATAGTCCGTCGGAAGAAAGACGAATATACCAAATTCTTGAATCAGCTGGACTTCAATGTCACACCACCGAACAATGACTCTTGAACTGCAGTGTGCTATTATGCTCCAACAAAAAAAAAATCACACAACTATCATTGAAAACAGAAATTGGGAGTTTTCATTTTCCACTGCTTCCAAGTCAAACCCCACATTAGTAAAGTTGATTCAGAACCATACTAGAGACCAGCAACGTACACGATGTAGTGTAACACTTATAGTACATCATATTTATGAATGTATACTATTAGACATGTGTATGTATCTTTATGTATATTATGACTTACTGCGTGTGTGTGCGTTCATGCATGCGTGTGTGCACACCCGTGTGTATGTGAATGACCAGCCCAAGCAAAGGCAAGTACATGTTTGCCGTCGACCTGACGCAGGTCAACACGTTTTGGGGATTCTGACACTTGTCAGAATCTTGTAGAATTAATCTTGGCATTGCATGGTGGAGCATAGATGTGATATATTGTGCTTTTCTAAAAATTGAGATTTTTTTTCGCAACCTTTTTTCTGTCGTACGGTCAGAAAGGTAGTCGGTCCAATACCCACTTAATCAGTTAGTAGAATATTCCTAAATCAGTGACTCTTTTGACAGGTAGAAACACGGATCCAAATTTTCGATGTCCACTGTACATATTGCTCACGGAGTGACCTAGTCTCGCGAGAACCCTTTAATCGTATTTAACTTCCTTACAGATCGAAATGAATACTAATATTTGCAAAGCAAATGCATATCTATTTACCACTGACCGATCTTCAAGCTTGAAGCTTGGCGTGGTTCTGTTGCTTCTTGAAACACGCGATGCGCGTTTTTCTGTGCAGTTATACCCCAGGGTTTGCGACATTTGAAATATGCAATTTATGTCATACTTATAGACAGGTTGGACCGGTTAAGGAATAGTTAGTATGGCCATCTTGGTGTTTGTGTAAGTCTTTCCGAAGCAGCTAGCTGTCACCCAAAAAGTATGTTCAGACGGCGTTTGTATTATTGCCTTAAACGCGTACGCGATTAAGAATTCACATATGAAGACATACATGTAGGATGGCATCTACTCTACCCAAAAGGAACAGTGCAAAAAGGCCAACAATGACACCGGGTGGTGACGGCGAGGACTCTGAGAAGTTGGAGAACATTTTTCAAGATCGAAATTCTGATGAAGATCCGGAAAAGGGCTTCGATTGCTGCCTCTGGGTCAAGGTAAGCTCATATATACAGTATATAGTGTCCATGCACGTTTTATATGGACAGTAAGCAACTAGGACAAGGACACATGCTATATAAATACACCAAATTGACAGCGTTTAAAAGTGTCCAGGGTAGTTGTCTGTTTCTTTCTACTTAATGATTCACATTTGCCCCAAATTCTCCCTCTTCATATGTTTGCATCTGAAGTTATATAATTCCACATGTCTTGAAGCTGATCCGCCAAATCCACAGAAATGTCACATATTTACCCCTGCAGCTGGTAGTGTTAGCGAAAAGTGTAGGGGCCCATCCTGTCCAGCGGCCTCAGGCAGAAGCCACATTAATCATTAAAACAGCAATGAGAGATTCTATCAAATTGATTTCTCCTTGATTTTTAAACATAGTTCAGAACCTCTGCATCTGATAAGCAACTAGTGACCTATTACTAATTTAATTTATAACTCTGTGGCAACAAAACAAGAACCATGTATTATCTTACAATTTTCCATACTCATGTTTTTGTTCAGAAACAGTGGGGCGTGGCCGCCTGTCTCCTATCCGGCCTTTTCAAAGGTTTCGTGCCTGCGGCATTTCGATATGTAGAAGACAGGGGATACACGGAATTCCAGCTGCACTTCTTCAACGATCTGCTACTGGCTTCAGCCGGTCTGTGCGTCGCCGTTTACAACAAGACGAGCCTCATCCCAACTGACTGCAAGCAATTCCTCCGCTTGGTTTTCCAAGGAGTAGGTCGTTTCTTCGCCATCCTTTGCCAGTTCTCTGCCTATCGGTACCTTCCTCCTGCCAACGCCGAAATCGTGATGGGCCCCAGCGGAATCGTCTTCACTGCGATTCTTTCTCTCATTTTTCTTCAAGAGGTAAGCCGAAAATCTACATTAAAACTGACAGGAAAACAACAAAATGAATGACAAAATTCTTGTGGAATTCGTTTTAATTCCCAAATCCTCGTTTTTTAAAATCTTTGCAGTGTTTAAATGTCGTTTCTGTTATGATTTCAGATACCCACCCATGCTACCATATTTGGGAGCTTATGGTGCATAGCAGGTGTTGTACTAATTGGTTATAGCGGCATGATCAACGAGATCCCCTCCACGACTGTCGACTCGGACAATGTTGGTCTAGGAATGACACTTTCCCTCGTCACAGCACTCTTATTCGCTATGTTGAGCGTTGACGTTAAAGGCCTCCTGGCATCCGGCACCACGACAACGATGGTTTTATCATACGCTTACAGTATACCTACAGTGTTGGCAGGCTTAACGTCTATCTTCAAGAGTAAAACGTGGCTGCTTGAGCCAACAGCTGCCGCAGTCTTGTGTGCAGGCCTTTTAGGTAAGTTCGGAGGAACCGTGCTACTATACGCTGGCCTGAAGCTGGTTGAGGTCAATGCTGCAACTGCCTTGGGGCAAGTCAACGCGTTTTCGGGCTTCGGGCTGCAGTGGGCGATCATCGGTTTTGTTCCGACTATGTTTGATGGTTTTGGTCTGACGTGTATATTCATAGGAACGGTTTCTATTGTTATATGGGAGGCGCTAGTCCGTCGGAAGAAAGAGAAACACGTCAGAATCATGGAACAATTCAAGTTCACTCTCACACATCCGGACAATGACTCGTAGACTAAAGAGTGTGCCAACTGTGTGTTGACTATGTGAAATTATTTAGCATGATATATACAATTGTACGTTGTACAATGGTTTTGGTCTAACGTGCATATTCGTAGGAACATTTTCATTTGTTATATGGGAGGGGCTAGTCCGTCACAAATAAGAGTGACTTGTGACTTTTATTACGCAACAATGTACAAGGTACAAAGTATGGCAGAAATGAGAGAACAAATCTAACAAATCAGTCTACGTAGTACAATACTAGGTGATGTGGGATGAAAAGGCGCTTATACAATCATTAAAAGAATTTCTTACGTTTAGACATTCTTTAAAATACTGTCCTATATTCACAATGTATGGATTGTCAAAAGTCAACAAGTATCTGAATTTGCTAGATGAATTCATGGCGAGAAATTCTGGTATAGAAGACAAACCAAGGAGGTTAAATAGAAGAGGCCTCTTGTATTAAACCTCCTTTGACAAACATAGCAGATTGTTGAAACAGCTGGACTTCAAATGTGTCACACAACAATGTCACACCACCGAGTGATTTCAGTGTGCTATTGTGTTCTAACGAAAATCACACAAGTTTCATTAAAAATGTGCCACTGCTTCCAAGTCAAACCCCACATTAGTAAAGTTGATAGAGAACCTTACTAGAGACTGGCCAGCAACGTACACTATGTAGTGTAACCCTTATAGTATATCACATTTATAAATGTATACAATTAGACATGTACAACGTTTTGTTATGTATCTTTATGTACATTATGACTTACCCATGGGCAGGAGTTTGCAATATACTAAACCCCACAGTTTGTGTGTGCGTGCATGCGCATGTTAAATTTGTGTGTGCACAACCGTGTGTATGTGAACAACCAGCCCAAGGAAAGACAAGTACATGTATTGACAAATATACTACTAATCTGAGTTGTCATGGTTTAATTCATCTCACTTCAAATGCATTATGTACATTCAGCTTCCTTTTAGGAAGAACTATCCTAAGAGAAGTTTTAAAGGATCATTAAGATGACAAATATCACAGTATCAGTTGCACAACTGAGCAATCAGTCGCATTTTCTAGAATCTACCAGGCTTTGGGAGGCGGCTGGAAAGAGTAGAAATCGGCCAAATAGAGAGATAACATGCCAGGGGAGTTTGTCTGCTGGGAGAGAACATTTTGCCGCACCCGAGTCCCCGGGCATGTTATTTCCCTATTTGGCCGATTTCTACTCTTTCCAGCTGCCTCCCGAAGCTTGATAGAGGCTAGCATTTCCTATGCCAGGCAATGTTTACATTTTAGCTATGCAGGGGTTAAAATACCCGGTCTCGCAGTCTCGCCGCGCAAGTAATTTTTTCTGTGCGAGACTTATTCGGAAAGCCAGGTTGCCCGGAGCGCAAGTTATTTTTACAGCGGCTGGGTTTACGGCCAGCGGCTTCTGAAATAAACAGTGCCGCGGTCCCGCCTGATAACATCCCGCCTCGGCCTGCCGGCCTGCACGTGAGCAGTCCCTCTACTCAAATAACAGCGGGTGTTGATAATTTGGCGTTTCGCCTCCCTGAGCACGTGCGCGTAGGGATTTAATTCCAATATTTCCCCGATAAATGTGTTCGTCATTCGAATTTTCTTCGGCCGAGCGGCGTGGATCGAGCCGCTATCCTGCCGGCTGTGCGCGTGAAGTTTTCGGCGGTTCCGCGGAAAAATAATCCATCCCCAGAAGAAATGTCACGCATGAAAATAA